AGAATTATAAGCTACAAATGATATAGGCCTGAGTAAAGACAAATTGTTGTGCCAAAATGAAAATAGTTAAACGGGTACATTTTCGATTTGGCCACAAGCCACTTAAACCCTGAAGAAATGCATAAATGCTGCACCTGGCCCATTCAGTTTCAGAAGTATAGCTTGAGTGTATTAGATTGAAGCCCTGATGAAAGCTTCAGTTTTGCTTACTTTTTATTTTCAGTCGAAAAAAGGCCCTTAAGGCACATCGTCCTGTGCCCAGGTGGAAATGATCCCAGGTACTGTAAAATAGGTTCTACATATTGTGATATCACATACACAAATGCACACACACAAAAACACACACAGATGCTACATTGGACAGTGTTGAAAAATGGATGATACAGGATTCTTTTTCATGACTCTAAATGGAGTCCCACATGCCCTCCTCAAACATTTAAAATTGATGCCATATGTGGAGGCGTGCAGACACACACGCTGGACTGGGCCAGTGGCATTTCAGACATGCTTTTGTTTACTGTAAGGTGTTTTTTGCAGTTGTTTGGCTTTGTAGAACAATCAGCCCTTTTCCTCTCTCCTTCCCAACACACACACTTTTTCCCTGGTATTTGTATGTTCAGAGAAAAGCTTTTATGTAAGTTGTATCTAATTAATGTTTCTATTTTCATACAGGTATATATGGAATGTATGTTAGGCCAGTAGCAAAGCCAGAGTCAATCTGGTTTCAGTTCAGTCAGTTCGAGCAGCTTAGATGAGTTTATATTTAAGGATCCCACATATTTTATTTATGAGGCCTCCAAGAGCCATTTGTGTCCTGTCCAATCAAATAGCCTCAAGGTTGCTGGACAAAAAAACAGAACACCCAATTAGTTGTGGGCCACATCTTATTCTGCTTATTTAACTTCTTTAATGTCCACCAGGTCATTGGCAACCCATCGAGGCTTTGGAATTTTGATTTTAGCCCATGAAAAAAATGTATGGACATTTTCAAAAACTAGGAGATGTTATATTTCAAATGACGTCTCATATATAGAGGCATTACACTTTTCCTTATAAAAGATTTATCATTTGGATTTTCAAACAGTTCAACTTTCTATACAAAGGAACTGTAACCCTAACCCTAGAAGGAACGCCAATGACCTTGCGATAGTTAAACCCTTAATCTCTACCATCTTTCAAATTAAATCTCATGGGATAATTTCCATAGAATTTTTTCCTATTGGAGCTACCGTTTACCATCAAATGGTCTAGGGTTAGGGTTATAGTTACATTTTCCTGTAGCAGCACACTAAATAGGTACATTTTTCAGAACTAGAGCATACAAGGGGGTGGACATTATCCCTACCCCTAAGGCTCACAGGTAACCAGGTCAGTATTAAGTGGTTAATACATTAGCTCAAAAGAAATGGTGACACAGCATTAGTAGTTGATGGATCTATGTAGTCTGAGGAGCTTGGAAAGAAAAGCGTCTGGACTTCTTTAAGTAGCTTGAAGTTGTTTCACCTCTCATCCAAGAAACTTCTTCAGTTCTAAAGTCAAATGGTGGTGGAAAATCCCAGATTTAAGCCCAATGGGAGTGTCCCCCCAAGAGGCACATGGACCCTCTTGGGTGGACACTCCCACTGGGCTTAAATCTGGGATTTCCCACCATTTAACCTTAGAAGCTCCTTTGACTACGATGACCTGCATGACCTGCATGACTGAGAACCTTCACAGACAACAATTTATGTAACTAACTGTGTAAGAACTGACTGAATTGACCAGAGTTTGGGCAACACCGCAGTAAACTCTCCTCACCTCTGATATTTCTACTACACTTTATAAGTGTCTTAGTCCATGTAGATACTTCAATAAAATCAAATATCACTATTTTCTACGTCTTAACAAAAACCACCTGTGTGTTTCAGTTGACTGGGACCTGTGTTTATAAAGCCTCTTTGCAATCAGAGTACTAACCCAGGATCAGCACTGGCGAGCATAATGAAGTCGCTCATGAGCCTCTCCCAGAGACCTCATCACCCCCATTAAAATTTCCCAGCTCGTGTGAAAAGTGGAGAGTCATTGGCACAGAAAAGGTGTCAAAGAAATCACTTTCCTTTTTGCCCTGCTCACCAAGTTTGTTGTGATTGTCAGTGAGATCTCTGAGGAGTGGGGCGGGGCTGTAGGATTTTCTAAAAAGCCACTCTGCTCTTGGATCAGCACTCCAAGGGGAAATATTTTATGAAAACTGACTCTGGAGTGAAATAGATATCTTTTTTCTAGTGCGTGGTACATTGCTTATATTAATAAATAACGTTTTGGTCAAGTGCTACTGTGATGTCTTTTTGTGTGAAAGTCTTTAAGAGTGTTGCTTAGTGGTTAGTCAGGAAAAAAAGTTGTGTGTTACAGCAAGCCTCTGGTAAAGTGCTTCAATTGCTTTGCTGGAAGGTGTCAAGCAAAACAGTTGAGAGGGTTTGGAACTGTAAAAAGACAACAACTGCAATTTTTCCTAGGTGAATTTCCATCACTGGGGGTTTACTTTTGTACGCAAAAGGGGATCTACTCTATATGCTTCCTACTATCCTTTCACTGGATTTCAATGCCATGTCACTTTGCTCCCAGTTCCCAAAGGTCTGAAGAAGATGGATTATTGATACCATTATCAAATGTTTGACCATGTGTCAAAGCCAATTCAGAGACTGTAGAGGACCATAATGCCACAATACACTAAGATTGAGGTCATAAAAGCTACAGATGCATAACTCTTTTGACCCAAATTTGCCAAAAAATGTCAGTTCAAATTTGCTTTATTTGTAGAGCTCCAAATAAGCCTCACCCCGTGATCACAACCTCGGTGACTTTGACCGAGGCATGACTGCTAGTGTCAGACAGGCTGGTCTGAGTGATTTCAACACTCCTGACCTTCCTAGAGTGTCATATACAACCTCTAGAGTTTATGCAGAAAGGTGCAAAAAATCTGCTGGTGATAACAATTTGCAAATGGAAATAACTTGTCGATAAAAAGGTTAGGAGGAGAATGTGCAGCCACTCCAAGCTAACTGGAAAGTTACTGTAAAATCGTGTTATAATAGCAATAGTATTTTAATAGCAATATTGAAAGAAAGTACTTTAGGGACAATGGTTCATATGTGAGGCTTGCAAAGTTGGCGTTGGAGGAAGAGGTTTGTCAACCAGAAGACATGACTGTGTCTCACTAACACCTTGTTTTAACTCTTTAATTGGTGTCACCAGCACTGTCTCTTTACTTTCAGTTTCAATCACTGGCTGAGTTTAGGCTCCAAAAACACTTTGGTTTAGGAAAAGACTGTGCTCTGGGTTAAAATGCGCCCATTCACGACACTAACCTTCAACATGTAACATGACACTCACTAAGGGCATTTCAAGTGGTCCTTTAAAAGCTCTCATATTGAGGCTCAGATCATACTATTGTCATGACCTGGCACATCATGCCACCCACGCCAAAAGACACCTGTGAGATGCCAGCGGTTTTGACAAAAAGGATAAATCATTTGCCCTGCGGACTGACAACCAAGTCTTTATGGCTCCTCCAACCCTAAGGGGGAAAGACCATGTTAGGTTCCAGTCCTGTCAGTCTAGAACATCAAGGTTGAGGCTGCAGTGGACACAAGTCTACCAAAACTGTTGAAGACAGCAGCAAATCATTAGACTCGTTTTTTTCTGAGGCTGCAGTCTGTAGGCTCAATCAAGACAAAGGACCTGATTTAATTACATGTTCTGCGTGCACACAGTGACAAGTAAGAGCTAAGAACTCAGAGAGTTTTGTGACTGATCCTGCTGCATATGTATTTCTATGAGTTCCTTTCTAAAGGGGTAAAATATAGCAATCAGACTTAACATTATGACCACTGACAGTGACAATGAATACAACTGATTATCTCGTCACCATCACACCTGTTATTGAGTGGGATAGGGAGCAAGTGAACATTTTGTCCTCAGAGTTGATGTGTTAAAAGCAGGAAACAATACGAAGAATTCTTAATAATAAATCCTTTGAGTCCTCTGATGAAGAAATTTCTTATCCACAAATATGATTAAAGAGAAGATTCACCTAAGTGACCCAAGAAGGTTTCATTTGATTAA